CTCAGCGGTCGAACTCTCAGAAGCAATGTTTGAGGAATTCCAGGCTGGCCCTGGCCGACAAGCTTCTCCATTCGTGTTGGGCTGTCCGGGACTGTCTTCAGAGCTTTGGCATGGTACCTCATGTGAAGCTGCCTGGGGCCTGGGATAGTACAAGATGGTGAGTAGACGAAGACTACACGATGTTCTCCGGAAGCCCTGGGCCCTTTAGCTCTTGAATCTAGATGAGCCTTCCGGCCACTGATACGAGTGAGCTGATTTCGTCCTCTCGGTTCAGCGTCGATTAGAAAGTCAAGGGTTCGGTAGCCGAGCTTGGGCTGAACAGTGGGCGCCCTTTGCGAACACAACTACTGACTGCGCTAAGAACCTTGGGCCAAGCTGAACTGCTGCGCCAGCACTGATCACAAAGAAGGTTTGGGTAACCGGCTGACAGATTCGTCAGATGTAGCTGTCACAGACAGAAAGGACAAGGTCGTCGTTATCATGTATATACACTCTCTGCACAGAGGGGACGCACGGATCTTGGATCCGGCGTCGTGGGGCCTGATGTACAGCAACGCCTCACATGCTTACCTCCACCTGTGCACCACCGGTTATCCACTTGATCTGTCCGGGAGCCTTGCGAACCCTGCGACTCTGACCGATGCTGCGCTCCATTGCACGGAGGTATTCATTGGTTTCGGACTGCACCTGGTAGATGCTCTCCAACCGATCCTCGAGTTTCTCCGTCTGCTGCTTGAGGGCGAACAGGTCCACAGACCGTGCTGTTCCATGCAGCTGGAGACACCTCTGCGCAAACTCCTCGTAACTGATCAAATGATCCCCATCTGCATCCAGGCTGTCAAACAGAGTCCAAGCATCGACTGCACTAACCTCAGTACGTGGTGCAATAACCTCGACTGAGTAGAAGCAATAGTGGCGTCGTCCTCCCGTCGTGCTAGGAACAGTATCACCGGCATGCGACCATTCATTATGGTTTCTGCTTCTTCTTGCTTTTCGTGTCATTAATACTTTGAAGAGAACGCGAAAGCTACGGCAAGGAAGCATACGGTTGAATGGGTGGGGCGACTCGTGAAGCGAATCTATTGCAGCACAGCACTGCGAAACTCTCGACTGTGCCGGAGGTTTGGCAGAATTTTATGTACAGCTGAAAAATTCTTGGGTGTATTTCCATTCTCGGGCCGGCACATGACAACCGGCTTTTTGCCTTCGAGGGGGTCAACGACATATCCTCACTGAAAGGGCTCGAAGAAAAAACGTCAAGGCAATCAAACGTCAGACTTGGTCTTGTTTTTCAATCAGATGGAAGTGCCGTGCTGCTTGGATCTACCAGGTCGCCACACCAAACATGCATAGACAACAGCTGCGCTTGCAATGGTGCTTGGTAGAGCATGCCAGGTCAATGCACTAAACCGTCGCACTACATCTGCTCAAGAATACACAATGCACAGGAGTCAAGCAACATCACCGAACAAACCGCATACTCGCAGTGCCGCCATTCCTGCAATTGCCATGTGGTTTCATTTAAATGGAACACCCCCCCCCCCCCCCCACCCCCGCCCCTAGCCTTGTACACCACTGCCACCTTGAGTCCCTTCAGTGGCCCAGCATCTATCGTTTGCTGGGGCGGGGAGCCCTGCACCCCGTCCATTTTGTATTGACCGGGGTCACTACTAAGGTGAATCGGCAAACGGCAACTCCCGCAAGCTCCACAGAGCTGGCTTTCGTGATGCATATGAATCTTGATAAAAGTTTTGTTAATTGTTGTTAGTCGTGGTCGTCGTCGAGGGAAGAGTGACACTAGTATACTACCAGTCATTGGTAACCGGTAGTCGTCCTCGTAGTTGTCCATGACCTCTCAGACAACACGCTCGACAACAACAGAAAGCGCGAAACCAAACACCGCTTGACTTGAGCGCAAGTGACCTCAATGGCAGCAAAGAAAGCCACCAAGTCTTCGTCTTGAAAAATCTGCTCGAACTCGGTAATGGTGATCTGCCCAAGGCCCGTGGAGTCGATCTTCTTCCACAATTTCGCGACCAGCTGCTTGAACGCATGTACGTGCTGCATGAGCGTTTCGTGGTCTCTCTCCCTCGTCTTTATTGCAGAGTTCACGAAAACGCCGGTAATTACGTTGAGCAGGGCAAAGTCACCGAAAGCCACGTAGATGTGAAAAAGCTGAACCCACCATAAACCCATTGGGGACAGAGCTTCCGCTGCCTCGATCCAGTCAAACCCTGCCAAAAGCGTCCTGAACAGTGTTGTACTGGATGCATAAACTCCACCAAAGTACAGTTGAAGCTTTTGGAGATGTGGCTCGGATGCATAGGCTTCATTGCTATCCAAGTACTGCAGGGATGCGTCTGTGAACAATACTCCGAAGGAGTAGATAACCAACACGAGTAGCACCACTGCCCACACAAGCTGGCGAACGGTGTCAAGCACCGAGATCACCAGCTCCCGAAACGCGCTGATAAAGCGAACCAGTCGGACGGACCGAATCACTTGAAGCACGCGGGTGACTCTGAAAACGCGAATGATGCGGAAATTGCTGTTGGATGTGCCAGCGCCCATGTTCTGCAGTTCCACAAAGTCGACGACAAGCTCGATCCAGGCTGGAAAGACGATGAACGTATCCAGCCAGTTCCATGCAAAGTCAGGACCACAGAGAAAACCACGAGGTCCAGTTGCAGTCAATCGAATGAGCATTTCCATCGTAAACAGAACAGCATAGCAGAAGTGGCCAAATAGGAACCATCTTGCCGTGGAGCCATCAACGTCAAGAGCACTGACTTCGAGCTGCAGCCCAAGAAAAATAGAGTTCGAAATGATCACCAAGGCTACCGCCACGTTGAAGGCCACAGATTGGGAAATCCTTCCGGCCCAATGCTGACCTGAGAGGCAGCTAGCACGCGCTTTGTTGAGATGTCTGTGAAACTTAAAGTTATTCTTCTTAACAAGTGGAGAAAATACCTGGAGGCAGCCAAGCTGCAAACCTGTGCCAATTTCATTCGCGGAGACTGAGAAGTCGTCAGAGCAGCATCAGCAGACCTTTGTCTCTTGAGGGTGTCCACGCGATGGCCTTCTTCCTTCGCCTCTTCATAGTCATGAACGGCCTTTCGGCGTCCCTTTACTGGCGTTGCTTGCCCCGACTTGAGTGGCGTTGCCTGCCCTGACTTCAGTGGCGTCTCCTGACCTGAAACAGCCTGATCCCTAGCCTGATCTGTCCAGCTCTCAGCTTGAGGTGGGAGAAGCAACTGGCCATGAGGTAAGGACTCTAGGTCACTGTCATCAGAGTTAATGTGTAAGGCTGGTCCCTCCAGGACCCTGTCGTCCAACAGCAGCTCTACTCTGGATGTGAGCACATCAAGTCGATTGAGAAGCTCCTGGTGCTGACTCTTCAACAATGCTGGGAGCTCATCTGCCATGGCAGGCTGGCGGCTGGTGGCGCTCTGGTGGCTGCTGCAAGCACTACAGCGTTCTGCTGACAAGACTTGTCGACCATGCACATGGAACGAGGTCAGTGCACTATGAACTGTATGCACAAGTCGATATAACTTGAATAAACGGCCCTTTGCTCATCTGCAGAAGTCGAGCCCAGGTTTCACAAGTCATGGCTGCAGATTCTGCAATTGCTGGTCTGCAAGCCCCGCGAATTATTGGACGAATAGAAACCGCAGAACGTAAGACATCCAAATTGAAGAGAGAAAGGCAGAGCATGCGGCACCGCGCAGCCGAGTCGGGTCGCTCATGCATGGCAGTACTGCATTATCATTATCCGAACTGGCCGAACACTTACGTGTTAATGTGGCGACTTGAATTGGAACATGGGCCTATTTAGTGCGTTATTTTCCTTATTTGTTAAAGAACGGGCTTCACTAAGGGTTCCTACCCACAAAGACTGTCGGACACTTTTGTTCCTGGGCACGGTGTGTCCTGGGGTCTCGAGCCTGCACGTCGCGTGTGCGTGACGGCTGTTCCTGTACATTAACTGTACTGCACTAGTTGTGTTACTGTTCCTGGCAGAATGTTTAACACCCCGCCTTCGGAGTTAGCGAAAGTTCCTCGACTGAGGTGACTCCGACTTTTCCTTGACAAACAGTAAACACACTGCAGTTCCTTTTCACTTGCAAAACAAACACTGTTCCTCATCGCAAACGTATGCGCACGTTCACTCGCAATCCTCTCCAAGGTTGCTCGACTGTAGAAAAGACGTTCCTGCACTTTACCTAGATCACCACAGAAACAAAAAGGGCTGTGCCACGGTTCCTGTGTCCTGCTGCTTCTTTCCTCGGCTCTATGGCCTCAGTACTGCTCGCGGTTCCTTTGCTTCACTGGAAGGTTACTTTGCCTTCCTCTTCGCTGTCTTTAGCTTCTTCTTGGTCTTGAAGCTGTTCCTTTAGCCACTCTTCTTTCATCTTTGCTTGCGCTTTACACTTTTCTTTTCCTTGCTTGTCCTTTGACGCTGCTTTCCAACCTGTTTCCTTTGATCCTGAATACCAGTACCACTGTGTCTTGGCTTCGTTCCACTTCCACTGGTATTTCCTGTTCTGGAAACTGTAGACTGCAAACCAGTTTCCTTCAAACTCTCCTTTTCCTTTTCCTTTCATGAACGATGCTTCGTTCACTGGTCCTTTGTCGGACAGTTCTGGGTCGTCCTTGTCTTCTTCCTTCTGCTTGTGCTGTGTGACGTTCGGTGGCTCCTTTCCTGTTGCTTTTCCTGTTCCTTTTGCTTCTGGCTTCTCCTCTGCCTTTGCTGGTGTTGTGTCAGGTTCTGTGGGTGCCTGCGACCCGGCTGCTGATCCTCTGCTCTCAAGCTCCTGTGTAAGGCTTGCAATCCTTTCTTTATCCTCTTTGTGTTCCTTCATCATCTCCTTCATCATTTCTTCAAGCTTCTGGATCCTGTCTGCTTCACCTGATCCTGTTGCTGTTGTTGCTGCTGCCTTCTTTTCTGCTTCCTTCTGGGCAATGTACGCTGACGATGCCTTTTGATCTTCCTCTCT